ATGAGCATCCATTATCAATGAATTAGATTATCTCCACCCCATCAATATGTTTTTCTAATCACAGAGCAGCTAATAATGATTTTTTAAAATTGAATAAATGAGATGTTTTTAAACCACAGGCAGATTTATCTGTATCCCTATTACACCAAAAATATAAACAACGTCTGGCATGATGAGGCTGACATTTTACAAGATGTCCACATATCTATGATCACAATTGCTCCTCATGGCAGTACAGCAAGACCAACCAGGGCAGATTCTTATATCAGATTTTCAAATAAGTAAATAGTTGTTCTGAGAATTTAAGTGGCTTAAATTCTTTGTGGTCTAGGTCTTCTGATTTCAAATCCAATGTTCTTTCCCTTTCCCTACTAGTTTTAATAACAAAACGCCGCCAAGATAATTTTGATCAATTGACCTGAAATTCTTCAAACTCTCCTCTGTTGAGTAAGACTCATAAGTACTCCCAACATTCCCCATCATCTCTCTTAACTATTGTTAGTGGCACAAGTTAATATGTGAAACTGAAAAGTACACTGATAGCTATTTGGTATCTGCGCTATTATTATAATTGTAAATAGTTAAAACTTATTAAAATATTTTAAAGAATTCCATATAAAACACTTTTATTTGCTGAACAATTAAAGCTAGGTTGGCTGTATGAAGCTCAGGGATATTACATTTAATAAAAGCATAAAAGCACCGGTTGCATCTGAAAGTACTCTCATATCAGATAATTTGGAAAATTAAAACTAATTTATAATCTTTTAAATAGGCCTGTCTTCAATATAATTGGGAGAGTATAAAGAGCACAAGGAATTTAGAATCTAGGTCAAGACAACTTGAAAAACAATGATTTTACCTTTACAAGAATATTAAAATTATTAAATTAATTTTGCATACACCAACACCCAGAGGATTCATTTTATTTTGGACCCAAATAACAAAAACAATACAGACTCGCTCTACCACTTATCAAGCACTTTCTTCATGCTCTTGAAAGTTCACTGCTATGAGAGATGACCCTGAAAACAGAGAAATTAAAATCATTTTCCAAGTGTCAAAAGCCAGAGGAAGCAGCAGGACTGGTAGTTCCAGGGCCTTCAGATTGACAGTCCTGGTTTCCCTCCACACCTCTGCCTCACAAGGAAACAGACGCAAACAAATTACATGCTCCAGCTTGGTTACCAGCCTTGGTCTCTGTTGGGTCATTTCTCAGTCCCATTGCAACCTACTTCTACGTTTGAAAGAAAGTCATCTTATTTACTAAATTATATGAAGTTTGACTTTCTTCTCCGACTGAATGAGGTTCTTTTGTTCCACTAATTGCTTTCTAACAGGACATTATCTCTAGGAGAACATTAGCCCCTGTGTCACTGAAAAGACTCATTGGACGCCGGGGACCCACCAACGTCCCTTCTTGCTCTCTGGGCTCCAGTTCAGCATTAAAACTAAAGTGACCAAAGGCTCTGCTTACCTCCTTTGACATAAAGCAGGAAGGAAACCCTCTGGGTTATTCACTGACAATAACGATATCAATTTACATAGACCATCTTCTCTAAGTGCAAATGCATATAGAGTTGATTCACTAGACCCCGAGCAAAATGAGGCTGACCTCAAAGAATCAGACCAGGGAAGGTAGGAAAAGGGTGTATAGCAGCCTCCACCTCCTTCTGTGGAGACCTTCTTGTAGACCTGACACTAGGAGACACCACACACCTGTGCTTTAATTTTTCAAGGTACACTTTTCTGATGAATGATGACTTCACCATAAAGTACTTCAACATAAAGAGTAAATATAAGCAGATGCCTAGAAACTGAAATCACTAACTGGGCAATTCACCCCCCTCTCCCCCTGATTTTGGCTTAGGTAAGTGTTCTGACTCTGTCTGGCTGAACCGGATTGCAAGAGGGATGGATAGCTCTGTTTTTACCTTACATTTTCACACAACAATGCTTCTGTTTTACATATGTGAACATCCAGTAATAGACAACAATCGTGCTTGGATAATCTTTTTCAAAGAAGAAGGAAATCATTTTAGAAATTTAAAAGGCCCCAGGAAAGCAACACATCTGTACTCCAGTTGGGGAATCTAAATTTACACAGATCCAGACAGCAAATGCACTGTGAACCACAGAACTCAAGTTATCACTTGAGATTTATGAGGACAGAGGATGTGACCAAGTTTTGAAAAAAATAAATGCATAAGTTAGAGTTATAGAATCTCCTTTCCATTGACAATTAAATTCAGACTTGACAATTAAATCCCAACCTCACTTCATTAGATATTAATCTTGCAGTGGAAATGGGAGGCTTTTACAGAAGCATTTCTGCTACAATAGAAAAGGCTCTCACTACAGTAGAACAATAAGAACGTTGTGGTGAAAGTTAGAAATAGAACTATTAGGCCTTGTTAGCTAATTATAGTATTGGCATCCACTTAAGTTGGCCAGTTTTTCATTCCTGTCATTTTCTCCTATTCAACTGCTGCCGTTCAAAACGTTTCGACTACTTAAAAGGGAATGCATCACCGTTGTCTTTCCCCAGCCTAACTGCACACCACTTTCCAAAGCAACAGCTTCAATCGTGCTTCCTAAAATCCCCTGCAAGTACATTGTTGGAAACATATAAATCAGCAAGCTAGGATTTCAGTATTTCTAAGGCAAGCCCAGAGATCACTGACTGGAGGCCCCCTTTGTAAAAGAAAAAGCACAATTATGAGTTACACTAGATTCATTTTTTTTTTAAACTGCTCCCAGTGGTGTGTCTGATAGTTGCTGCTCCATCCTTAATTCAAGAACAAAACACTAGCATAGAGGAACTGGACTCCCGGATCAGCCTTGCTGTCCCTGAGCATCTCTGACTTCATTAGGACACAGGGCACATAAGTACTACATGTTTCCGTTTCACAAAAGCTAGGTCTCTCTGGTGTGCATCGACGCCCCTCTGAGTGTCATGCATTTTTTAAATTGTACTAGATAGAAGATCCTTAAAACGATGCCCTCCTCCTTCCCTGTTTTATTACAGTGAATACGGGCTCCCCTTCAGGCATGCTTCAGTCCTAGAGCTCCTCTTTCTAATGACCCTGCATTCTGAATTATAAATTACGTGAATCACAATTTCAGACATATGTTACATATACAGACTCAAATTATGTGTCTATGTGTACCAGTTAAACATGCCTAGATTCCCCTTGCATTCCCCAAATTCCAACACACTTGATGTCTACAATGGCAAATTCACAGACTCCACAACTGAGACATTCTTCCTCTCCAGATCAGCGACAGTGTAATCACAAGTCTGTATAAACTTGCTGCTTAGTACGCCCCCATCTTGTTCTACACTATCTATGCTTGGTTAATTGCAGTGGTATTTTAACTACAATTTTCAGGGGCTGCTTCTTAGTATTCAGAAATACCTGTCTATATTGTCAATGGAACAGTTAAGCATCAGCAGCAGCTCCCCCCAAATTAAAGCAGCATACATATAGGGTATAAAGCATATGTTGATTTTTTTCCTTTAGCAGTGATTGAATGAACCGATTGGGCTAATATTACCTTTAGATGGACATATCTGCAGTTTTGCTAGGACTGAAATTTTGCATACTCTGTGTTAAAGGTAAATGAGCAGCATCCTACCAAGACACTTTACAAACTATAGCAACATCCAGCGTGTGCATTCTGAACATAAAATCTGCATCCAATCGTGTTTCATCAGCCACTAACACTATAGCTTTAGGGAGGAGAAGGGCAGGGAAAGGAAGGTTTCATATCCAAAATGTCAAGCCTTGCTAAGGAATGATAGAAGGACCAGCCAGAGTGGAAGGGCAGAAATAACCATTTCTAGGCTTAAAATGGAGTTCTACCACCCCCTGCTGGACACTAGGACCTACGCACAAGAGGCTCAATAATGCTTAAAATCGAATATAGTGGAGATATTTTAACTTGTGATTTATTTTTCCTCAAAAAAAGAATTACGCGCTATACCAACAACACAACATCCTCTGCAATTATCACACATCACAAAATCACCGCTATTTTCTTTCTCTTCGAAGACTTCCACCAATGCATATTTTAGCATTTTTGTGTCCCCTATTAAATGCCCAAACTTGTCTAGATAGTTGAAAATGCCTCCATTTATTATAAATACGTTTTTATGGGCTACCTTTAAAAAGCAAAATGAATTCACATCTACCTCTAGACAGATAAGCAGGGGTAGGTAGCTTCCCCAAATTCTCTCAGGTTACTCTAGTATGCTATTCATTTATGTATTTTTAAAAAAAAAAAAAAAGAAAGAAATAAAAGCTCCCACCAGTTCTCCGAAAGCTAACAGCAGCAGCAAAAACCCCTTACAGGTGTACTAAAATCTGATGCTATAAAAATTTCCAACCTTGAGGTATTACCGGGTGGGGGGCGGGGAGGGTGAGAATGAATGACTGCAACACATCCCCGGTTCTACCCATTCGCTTTCTCCCACAGCACCCTCGGCCCCTCTCTGGTCTCTTAGTTTCCAACAGCAATAAGCCGGCATCGTTCCCTTCCCAGTCGGGAACTGGGGTCCCGGCAGAGGGGGCGGGGGTGCCCCAGAATCGCATTTCTTGCACACAGCACACATTTCCCCAACGAGCCGCACGCCGATAGTTTCCGCTGCTCCGTGGAACACCCGCGTCCCCCTTCCTCCCGCAGCCTCGGGGGCTGAACACGCACCAGCTTCTCGTCCCGTTTTTGTTAATGAGACCAGAGAAGCCAGGATCCCGGGAAAGGGAAGAACAAACAGAAAAACCAGGCAGTTTGTCCCAACCCCCGGCTCACGGACGCCCCGCTCCAGTTCTGCATTTTCTCTTATTTAAGCCACGGAGGCGACTGCTCGCGGCCGCTGCGAGGGAGCGAGCGCCGGCGCGACCGTAACTTTAGTTCCCGCGTGTCGGTCCCCCAGCCCCTCGGCCCCCGGGAAGGGTGCGGGGAGGGAGAGGCAACGCGACCCGGCACCGCACTCCTACCTTGCCCGCTACCGACAAGCAACCCGAGCAGGTGGAAGGAGAGGAGGAGGCTCATGTTCAGGACGTGACACCGGCGGACACTCCGAAGTTACCAAGTCCAG